TGTAGCTCAATGCTTTATTGTTCCCACTGATTCTACATTCTGTAGCTCAGTGTCTTATTGTTAACACTGATTCTAAGTTCTGTAGCTCAATGCTTTATTCTTAACACTGATTCCTCAGTGTTAACAATAAAACATTGAGCTACAGAACTTATCCTAAGATCTGTAGCTCAATGTTTTATTGTTAACACTGATCCTAAGTTCTGTAGCTCAATGTTTTATTGTTAACACTGATCCTAAGATCTGTAGCTCAATGTTTAATAGTTATTTAAGTATATATTAAATACTTGATCTATTTGGCTCCATAGCAAAAAATAATCAATATACTATTGAATAACTTGGGTACTAATGAATGTGCTATTAAGGTAAACTATATGAATCTAATGATTAGCTTTAATATAGGTTAAATGTTCTTTTAGGACAAAACATACACATTTTACTTTCAATAGAGTATTTCACTAATTCCTGCACGTGAACATATTGATAAATGTTAATGGAAATATTGTAAAAACAATTACCTTAGTCCTGGGTTACTGCGACCTGCTCTTATGTTGGTAACACGTATTGGTTTCCGAAGTAAAGTACTAAATGCCATTGCCATCCTCAAAATTTGTCCACCCTTAGAAAAAAAAAATAATTTAAACTGAGAAACATTTCAGTCTGCTATCAAAAGCAGCTTTCAACCTTAGAAGTTCAACCTATTTGTTTCTTGTATAAAATTTCTCCTGACACGGGTAAATTTTTGAAACATTAATTTAATAGATGTTTTATGTTTATACAGAGAAATCCTGAACATCTGTCCTGCATTTCTGCAATATAGTAACTTCCATTTATTATATAAACTTGAACTTGCATAAATTAAACAATACTTTTCAACTATAAGAAAGGACAGATGAATTGGGATTTTAAAATTGTCCATCACATCACAAAAAAATAAAATGGAAATGGCATTTCAATGGCTATAAGTATCTCATACAAGTTACCTGTTGAAAACAACAGCCAACAGTTATGTTTAACATGCTCCTCCTGATGATTTAACATCCTTTCTTGTATATGGAGACTGAATATAGCAACTCAAGTGAGGCCTAACTGATGATTTCAACTACAATACTCTACAAACACACCCAATTAATACTCTAGCAATAGAACACTGTCTTGATGGCTTGAGTGACTTACCCACCACTGTACTAAGATCCATTTCTTCATTCACACTATTTGTAATGAATGGGTTCGTATCTATATTAACATTCAATGAATGAAATGTGTGCTTCAAATTATGATAACCTAAATGCAATACCTTCCACTAAAGGTCATTTGCCAAATATCTGTCCAACTGACCAATAGAGCTAAGTCGATCATTCTCTAGTACCTCAACATCCACAATACAGCATGAGATACCCTCTCCAACTGACCAATAGATCCAAGTCATTCTGTAGTACCTCAACATCCACAATACAGCATGAAATAACCTGTCCAACTGACCAATAGATCCAAGTCATTCTGTAGTACCTCAACATCCACAATACAGCATGAGATACCCTGTCCAACTGACCAATAGATCCAATTCATTCTGTAGTACCTCAACAACCACAATACAGCATGAGATACCCTGTCCAACTGACCAATAGATCCAAGTCATTCTGTAGTACCTCAACATCTTTAATACAGTATGAGATACCCTGTCCAACTGACCAACATCTTTAATAGAGCATGAGTGTTTACTAATCAATATCATTAACATAAATACAGATATCAGAGGTCCAAGCACTGACCCTTGTGGGTCCACTTCACCCGGATTCCATTAATAACAACCTCTTTCTTTCTTTCTCCCATTCAATTATATTAACTTTCTCCAACCCTTTTGATGTGATTTTTATAGCTAATGTTTTGTGGCACCTTATCAAAAAATCTAAGTATACCAGGACCACATCCTCTCTTTCATCTAGATAACACATCCATAATAAAATTGATGGAAGATTTCTCTCTGGTGCATCCATTATAGTTTTCTATCATATGGTTCTACAAACCCTCCAAACTAACTCTCAATTTAAACTTCTTAAACTTGAGGCATTTATCCCTGATTTTCTTCTTTATATCTTTAGTAAGATTTGTTCTTTCCTATTATCCTTTTAAAATCAAAATCAACTTGTCAGACTAATGGGATTAATTTTTTTCACTGTGATATTTTGTGATGTGGGGACATCTAGAGTGCTCCTGCAAAAATATTAAATAAATAACCATACAAAAAAATTAGCACTTTGTTCTTAGTATTTCCAAAATTCATTATGCAAAGCCTTAAGATTATTTTAAGCATAATGTATAAGGTTGGTTAATGTTCTCCTAAGAGATTCGTCTAAACAAAACTCCCCGAGTCCCTTAAGAAGTATATACACTTAAATTACTTATATAAGCATTTCTGTAAGAAATTATGCAGGCTCTTGGTTATAAGTTATGAAATAGCAAGTTCTTTAGTTTATCCTCTTAACATTTCTACACCATACAATATAATTAATCATTTGAAACTTAACACTGGATGATTTAATACCTAAATGAGAATGTTCACTTCACCATTCCTTATTGTAAATGTAATCACATATTACTAATGACATATCACATTCACTTATAATTTATTTATTCCCTGTGCAGTAGTAAAACATTTATTGATAATGTGATGTTATATTCAAACACCTCATCTAATGTAATCTCACATTCATGATGAAACTTACACCATACCACTTTTGGAAAATTACGAGTGTAAATTGTAATATTTGTAAGTTGTAGTACCATTAAAATTATTACACATAATTTGTACTACGACAAGTTACAAGTATCAACTACTGCACTAATGTAATAGTAGTAATAGTAATACTACAAGTTACAACTACTTGTACTTTGTAGAACTAGAATTCAGGGGTTCACAAATACTCTAGCGTTATAAGTTCGCATACTTGCTGCTGTGCCACTGGAGCAAGGGGAAAATTCAGAAGTAACTGCAACTTAGGAAATTTTGGAATGTTTTAAAAACTTAAAATTAAAACTGCCAGAGGTACTCTTCGCTTTTGAACTTACTCCTTCCATAACTCCGCCATCAATAGTAATGATTTCTGATGATGGTGTTCCCATTGCGGTATATTTCAATATTTAATGCACAAAAACGGATAAATGAAAATCAACAACTCCCTCATATCACCCAGCATCAGCAGTATTTACGTTATGATGTTATAAGCAGTTCAGCAGCAGTGAAACACAGTGACCTCTACTAGAAAAAGAAATAGCTGTCAAGATTTAAATATTTGAAATCATAAATAATATGAGAGTATTATCAAGACGTTTGTGCATTGATTAAATCAAACGTATCAAGATATTACTGAGTTAAAATATTTACATCTCAATAATGTATCGTTCAGTAGTTACAGTTTATATTGCTGATAATTCATTTTATCAACTTACTTCTCCCAAGTCCTCACAGTGTGTTCGTTGTATATTTAAAGATTTACAAAGCTAATCATTTTGTTTCTGATTTCCCATGTTTGACAGAACGCACGTTGCCTATTGTGCAGCTATGAGCTAAAAAAGACACAAAATTTTCCAAAAATAAGAAAAAACTGAACTTAACAATCAGAATATAAGCAAATGATCGAACTAGCAATCTTAATTCTAACTTGCTTGATACTGTCTTTGAGCATTATATTTTTCATTTGATATCAATAAAGGGTTAAAACTACGTGCTAAATCATTAAAATCACTTTATGGACTTATCAATACCATTTTTAGAATGTTTAAAGCGTTGTAGGTACATTTGGGCATAATAAATAAGTAAACACCCTGTTACGACAGTGGAAGTCACGTGACGCTAGTAACACGTCATGAACTTCTAGAAGGATCCTG